TAGAAGCCTCTTCTCTCTTCTCAGAAACAAGGCAATGCTTGACCCTTTGTCCATTCACAACAAAACCCTTTCCATCTTTTCCCTCCAAGACCAATGCTCCATAGCTTTTAACCTCTAAAACCCTGAATGGTCCTGACCATCTTGACCTCAATTTACCAGGAAAGAGCTTGAGACTTGAGTTACAAAAGAACCAGATCTCCCACCTTAAACTCCCTCTTGAGAATTTTCTGTTCATACAAGATCTTGGTCTTCTCCTTGTATATCCTTGCACTCTCAAAGGCATTGAGTCTGATCTCTTCAAGTTCATGCAACTGGAGTAGCCTCTTCTCTTGTGCTGTCTTAATGTCAAAGTTCAACATTTTAATAGCCCAAAGAGCCTTGTACTCAAGCTCCACTGGTAGATGACAGCTCTTCCCATACAACAGATTGAAAAGTGATGTTCCAATGGGAGTCTTGTAAGCAGTCCTATAGGCCCAGAGAGCATCATCCAACTTTTTGCTCTAGTCTTTCCTAGAGTTGCTCACTGTCCTTTCTAAGATGGCATTTATCTCTCTGTTTGAAACCTCTACTTGGCCACTGGTCTGAGGGTGATATGGACTAGCTATCTTGTGCTAGACACCATGCTTTCTTAGCAGCCCCGCTAGAGTCTTGTTCACAAAATGAGAACCTCCATCACTTATCACCACTCTAGGAACCCCAAACCTTGGGAAGATGGTGCTTTTAAAGAGCTTTACCACCACTCTAGAGTCATTGGTTGGGGAAGCAACAGCCTCAACCCATTTGGACACATAATCAACAGCAACAAGTATGTACTGATTCCCATATGAGCTCACAAAAGGAACCATGAAGTCAATACCCCAGCAATCAAAAAGTTCCACTTCCAAAATGGGATATTGGGGCATTTCACTTCTCTTGGAGATGTTGCCTTGTCTTTGGCACTGATCACAGCTTGATACAACCACCTGAGCATCTCTGAACATTGTAGGCCACCAGAACCCTGACTGTAACACCTTGGCCACTGTCTTGAAAGCTCCTAAATGGCCTCCATAAGCTGAGCCATTACATTCCTGTAGCACTTGTTGCGTCTCTTCCTCAGCTAAGCATCTCCTATACAGGTGGTCTTTGTTCACCACATACAGATACGGTTCATCCCAATGACTCCTTTGCACCTCTTTGAAGAATCTCTTTCTCTTGTAGGCATCTAGTTCAGGTGGCTCTACACCACAAGAGAGATAGTTAACAATGTCTGCAAACCACGGTAAAGTCCTCTCTCTTATAGCATTAGCCTATTCCACCTCTAAGTAGGTTTTAACAATCATTAGATGCTCTTCAGGAAGTGAGTCATCTAAGGGGACATCTGATTCCACTCTCAGTCTGCAGCTCCATTTTCAATGCCCTTCTTGTCCTGCACTTCCATATCAAATTCTTGCAGGAGAGGAACTCACCTCAAGAGTCTAGGCTTGGCGTCCTTCTTAGTCATGAGATATATGAGGGCTGCAAGATCAGTGTACACAATGACTTTTGATCCCACTAGGTAGTTTCTGAATTTATCAAATGCAAAAACTATTGCCAGCATTTCCTTTTCTGTGGTTGCATACTCTTCTTGAGCAGAATCAAGGGTCCTACTGGCATAGTAGATCACATGAAGTTTTCTGTCATTCCTCTGGCCAAGCACAGCTCCAACTGCATAGTCTGAAGAATCTGTCATCACCTCAAAGGGCAATTTCCAATCAGGGGCCTGGACAATTGGTGCACTGATCAATGCCTCCTTGATCTTCTTGAAAGCTTCTTCACACCGAGCATCAAAGACAAATTCAACCTCTTTGCACAACATCCTAGTCAAAGGCCTAGCTATTCTTGAGAAGTCTTTGATGAACCTCTTGTAGAACCCTGCATACCCAAGAAAGCTTCTTATCCCCTTGACTGAATTTGGAGCTTGCAGATTCACCATCACTTCCACCTTTGCTCTGTCCACTTCTATTCCAGCTTCTGAGACCTTGTGCTCCTCACATTTTTCCAGGACATAAGACAGATTATAGAAACAAGAGGAGAAAGAGTGTCCATAGACTGAGAAGTCATCCATGAAGACTTCTACTTTCTCCTCAATCAGATCTGAAAAATATACATCATACAACGCTGGAAAGTAGCAGGATCATTGCATAGCCTAAATGACATGCGCCTATAAGCAAATTTCCCATAGGGACAGGTGAATGTGGTCTTCTCTTGGTCTCTTGGATCTATGGGGATTTGAAAGAATCCAGAGTAACCATCTAGAAAACAAAAGAAGGGATGGTTTGCAAGCGTCTCTAGCATTTGGTCAATAAAGGACAAAGGAAAATGGTATTTCCTAGAGGCTGCATTGAGCTTTCTATATCTATACACATCCTGTGTCCAGTTATAGTCCTTGTAGCAATAAGGTCATCCCTCTCATTCTTTGTCACTGTCATTTCCCCCTTCTTGGGCACCGCATGTACTGGTGAAACCCATCTAGAGTCTGAGATTGGATAAATTATCCCAGCTTCTAGGAGTTTGAGAATCTCTTTCTTCACTACCTTTTTTAAGTTAGGATTGAGACGCCTTTGGTGCTCAATGGATGACATAGATTCCTCTTCTAGGTGAATCCTATGAGTGCATAGGGAGGGTGAGATTTGTCCTTAAAGACTCGTCAAAGCAGAATCGTTTTCTGCTCGTCCTTACAGACCACTTCTCCAAATGGGTCAAGGTCGACTCCTACGCAAGCATAAATGACGCCCAGGTTGAACACTTCATCTGGAAAAATATCATTTATCGACACGTGGTACCGTACGAGATAGTAATAGACAACGGATCTCAATTCATCTCAACTCACTTTAAAGCTTTCTGCGAGAAGTGGAAGATTCACCTAAGTAAATCCACGCCAAGATATCCCCAAAGGAACGGACAAGAGAAGAAGCTAACAAAACAATCTTGGACGGGTTAAAAAAGAGACTCGATGCTAAGAAAGGACGATGGGCAGATGAACTGGAAGGAGTCATTTGGTCGCATCAAACAACTCCATGCCGAGCTACCGGAGAAACTCCATTCGCCCTCGTCTACAGAACAGAATATGTGATCCCCCGAGGTGGATTTCCCCAGAATTCGACAAAAACTTTTGCAAGGACAAGAAGGTTTGAATCACCTGATGATGTTGGATGAGCTTATCTAATCAACGAAAGGCGCGTCCAAGCCTTAATCCAGGTTCAGAACTACCAACAAGCAACGGCGAGATACTACAACAAAAAATATCTGAAGCTGAAGATTTGAAGAACGGGAGATCGTCCTTAGAAAGGTATTCCAAAACACTGCCGAGAGAAGCTCGGAGCAAATTGGGAAGGCCCCTACAAGATCATGAAATTGGTTCGTCAAGGAGTTTATGAACTCGCGACGATGGCTGACGAAGCGATTCCGATATCGTGGAACGCCATGCACCTGAAGATATACTATCAGATACATCACCACCAACATGAACTACGGGACGGCTTGATCCCTGCAAAGGGTACATAGGCAGCTCGTCCTTGGACGGATTAAGCTATCCCCCCTCCAAAAAAGGGGGGGGAGTGGGTACGTATACACTTAAACCATTTTTAAATTTTTAGCTCGTCGAGTCAACTATTTTTAAGTTCATTTTCTCTTCAGATAGTTTTTCATCTCTTTATTGTCACTATGGCTAGTTTTTTATTTGACGAATTTTACATCGACTAGATTCTTATTTGTCATTGCATTCATTTCCGCAAAATCTTTTGCTCGTTACCACCCCACCTCAGTATCCAAACACCGAACACCTCGTCTCCTTGCTGGCCACAACGAGACAACAATTACAAAGTTCTCTAAATGGACTTTCACCACCTTTCTTAGGACGAGGGTGTAAGTTACATCCTCTATGGATAAAAATTAAGCGCGCTATACAAATTTCAGACCAAAAACGTATAGGTCGTCACAGTTCACTGTCGCATATGGATTATAAGTCGAGACTACATCGCTTTCTCTAAAACCAAAGTTAGCTCTTGAAACCCGGAAAAACACATTGACCCTCTCGGGAACGCCGGTCTATAGTCATACTCTGACACTATCGGTTTGGACTTTAACCTTGGCAATAAGAAATCCGAGTCTAACATCTCGGTAGGCAAAAACCAAACCAATTTAAACACCTCGTCACACTTCATCCCTTATGACTCAACGCCTCGACATAAACAGAGGACACCATAAAGGGAATCATTTCTCTTCTCAAAAATTGGGTAACCAAATCAAAGCAACTACCTAATTGTCTATCCAGACAGGAACGTACCTCCCGGCTCGGAAACACCGGTATTTAAACATATTACAACGTAAAAAGGATTCTTTTAAATCTTTGAAGTATCAAAACGGCTCAACTTTGTTTAAGACGCTCCATCAATATAACTTGAAACATCTCAGCCAAGGGAGACAGTAGCACCCCTAGCTCAGCTTAACAAACATCCAAAAGCCGTTTCTACGCGAACTACCTAGAAACAGCTTGCCTTGACACAAGCTTTCTTCAAGAACAGTTCGTCACGAATAACTCCCACAAAATTGCTAAGGCAAAAACTGCAACTCTAAAAAGAGATAAACAAAATCGAAACCAGATAAACCCACCGGAAACTTGATTTCGATAGTTAAGGAGGATAAAGCCGTCCAGGCACAAAAGCAAACAAGCCAATAAGTACGGATAAAGCCATCCAGGCACAAAGAAAAAAATATGATTCAGTACATAAGCAAGAGCACGAAAGTCATCCCTCTCGGTGCGAATTGGAGACGCCTTCGGCAGAAAGATCAGTAGCCCTCTGGGTGTTGATGTTGGAACCCATCGGATCTGTGACTCCAATCGAAGAGGTAGTAACCTCCAGCGGCTCATTTCCCAGACGAGACTCAAGAAAATCCGGGGAAACGAGCAAGATGACTAACTTCTCCCTCAAGTCTGTCGCGGCATGATCAAACGTCTCCTCGGCTCCAATTAGCTCGGCTTCCTAGCTCTTCAGTTTCTCCTCTTCGGCATCGAGACTAGCATCCAGTTTCCGGAGATCTTCGATGAGCACGAGATTGCTCCTGATTTGGCCAAGGTCATTTTCATCTCCTTTAGCCTTCTCCAACTTTACCATTTTCTTCTTAATCGCGGATAGACGCGCCCGTAACTTAGCCGCCGCCTCACATCTGGCCTCCTTTCGGGCAATCTTTACCCGTGACTCAAGAAGAGAGTCTTTCGCCGCGATCTGCCTCTTCAGGCAAGCGATTTTGCTGTTTTTCCTTACCCGCGATTCCTCATAACGGGTGACCATCTTTTCACAGTCCGCCTTCAAGACCTTTTTCTCTTCCTTGAGTGCCTCCATCCGGGCTAACACTTTTGCATTCTCCCCCGAGGCCTTCTCAAGCTCGGCCTTGAAAGTTGCGGCGTCGCGTCTAGCCTTTTCAAGGCGACGCTCATCTTTAAGTGCGTCGGCCTCATAGCCGGCCATCATCTCATTCACTGCAGCATAAAACTAAGAAAGACGGAGGATCAAAATCGAGTTTTAACGCAAGAAAGTGTTAAAGGTAAAATAACAACCATACCTTGGTCATGCGCTGTGCCATCGCAGCATAGGGCTTCGACCGTCTGAGATTTTCGGGGTGCGGCAAGATAACATTGGCGTTGTTGATCTTCGAGAAAAGAGATGCCGAAGCCTCGACATCATCGACAACAAGCTTTTCAGGGACCACCTTCTGCTTCTTCTTTATGACCTCGTCCTTGTCATAAGCCACTCCTTTGGCTTTCTCATTGGAAGATCGTCTGCGTTTCATCCCCTCGTGTTTCACAAGCTTAGAAGCGTCGGGCCTTGTGTGTTGCTGAAGCGCGTGCACCGCTGAGGCAAGAGGCGTAGGAGGATCCCTCGACAGGCTCGGCGTTCTAGAGGACGCCTCGGGGAAAATCTCTCCCCGTTCAGCATCACCCTCTTTGGCAGGGTCCAAGCCAGAAACAACCGCCTCGTCGCCTCTCTCTTTAGGATCCACTGGCTCGTCCGGAGCCGACATCTCCTCGTCGAGTTTGGCGGTCTCACCGGTCTTCTCAGCGTTTTCCTCACCCTGCTTAGAAGCCTCTGCAGTTGCCTCCTCGGCCTCCCTCCTCTTTCGCTCTCTCAAAGTGATCAAAACCATTTTCTCTCTCGTATCGGCCGAAGACTCGAAAGATTCTGAGTTAACTGTAACCTCAGCTAAGATGGAACGAGCTCTCTCCACTCTTTCGTGCGAGAAGTGGGGTTTCTAGTTGACCGTTCTAGTGACCAAGGCGTCTCGAACTGAAAACTGATCGTCTGGAATCAGAGGGAGAATATTCCGAACTGCACAACAAAGCAAAATAAGCGAGTCAGAAAATGAGACAAAATCTGCGAAAGATCTGAGCGAAAGCAAAGCTTTGGGTTGGCTACCAAGTGGTCCCCAATCTGTTTTCACCTTGTGGATAAAGCCTTCGCCCACCGATACCTCGTTCATTAGAACGTAAAAAAAGTACTCGGTCAAGAAACTGTCTTTGCTTGGGAAACAAATAATAATCTGACGTTTTGACTTGCTGGAGATGTAAAATTTGTTTCCCCCTGGGGCCTTGCGAATTTCCTACACATTAAGCAGGTGATTCAGCTTGACATCAACCCCGCATTCAAAACTCCGAACAAGAATGCCAACCATATGCCCGATCGAGATCTCATGTTTCCATAAGTCAAAAAATGCTTTGTATACGGTGAAGTGATCGGCAGGAGGACGGTCGACTCGGTCGGTCTTCCCCGGAACAATGAATTCTACTACCTCGGAGATTCCAAAGCGGTGTGTAACGCCTTGACAGATTCAGGAGATGAGAGAGTAGAACTGGGAGGATCGGATCGTTGCCTTTTCCCTCGGTGGTGTTCTTTTTGCCCAAAGAGGAAGCACCTCGGCTTGCCATAAGACGTTCCAGATCGAGTCTTGCTTCGACCGGATCGAAAGGAAAAATTTCCTCCTCGGCTTTCACCTCAGCAAAGTCTACGGCTTCGTGTTGTACAGAAGCACTGGAAGAACTTGTACAAGCAGACGCCTCGTCATTTACGGATCGGTCACAGAAATGGCTCGTCGAGTCAGATGCCTCATTTTCTATTGGATGAGCAGGGGAGGATTCACCAAAGAGGATTGATGTGGTGTGTCTTGAGGTATTTGCTTTTAAGTACTTTTATTACGTTTTTCTAGTATTTGTAGTTCCAAGACTCTTTTCAGGTAACTTAGGGAAAAGCTTAACAAAATGGATAGAAAACCAGATTTCAGCTCAGAGTCAAACCGTCAGAAGTTCACCCCCGATTGAAGGCCTGATGGTGACTGGTGAGTGAGGGTTGTGTCGAGGGTTGTCAAGTTATACCCTAAATGAAATCAATAACCGCAAGTGCACAGCTGATCGATTGTAGTACTTAGGGATCGAATCCACAGGGAATGAGGATCTTTCCTGCAAAAGCCTTCGAAAGAAATATAAAGTAAGGAAGTCTAGAACAAAGCGAGTTTTGTGAGGGATTTGGTGGTGTGTTTAAAATGTAAAAACAAAATCTAAAAAGAAAATACGGGAATTAAAATGACCTAAAAACTAAACTTAATGAAAACAAGTAAAAATGAGAAAAAACGGCTAACCTAATTGCTTGAATGAAAATCGATTGAAAGAGTAAATAAACTAGATTAAAGCTTGAATGAAAATCGGTATAAATCTATAAGAAAAGAGGTGCTGGGGTTCAGGGAAGTTTTCTCAGAGGTATGAACGATTCAAAACATTGCTAGAGAGTAAATTTGATAAGATCTTAGCTTAAACTTTTCAAATTGGAGTCACGGACGCATGAATACGCCACTGTCGTGATCATAGACAACTATCTCTCTCAACCCTGACCAGTAGGTTTCCACTCTGGCCCTGGAAAAGAAGAGATGCATTATCTTTAAGACTCGTCAGCATTCACAAATTGCCCATAGTTAGGTTTTCACTCCTATGTTTGTTTTGCTCTCCCAAACTAGATCTGACACCGGATGAACACTTTCGTGTCACCAAGCATCTGGATCAGATTGTAGTTCATGACGCTACTCTTATGCAGTAAAAACGAATTCAGAAGAAAAAGTTCTAAGATTCGGCTCAAAAGCTCATGGAATCCTCACCGAACATATAAATCCCCATCGAAAATTCTTTAGACCCAACAATAAAACTACTCAGACATGATGAACGAAATCAAAGACATAGTATTAAAGAGTAGAATAGAAACCAAAATTGAAAAAGAAAGAACAAGGGTTCAAGAGACAAATCTTTCTCTCCCTAAAACCTAAAACTTAAAAAGTATTCTAAAACAATAAGAGCATATGAGGACGTACGAATTAGGGTTCCTAAAATATGTATTTATAGTGCTCAAGACATCTCTAGGGTCTAGGGTTCCGGAATCAAGGCTGGGAAAATGATATGGGCTTAAGAAATGGGCCTTCAGGGTCAGAGTTAGCTGGCCGCGGTCGGGAAGTGCGCGACCGCGGAGAATGGTTGGCTGGCCGCGGTCGGGATGGCTGGCCGCGTTCGGGATGGCTGTGACCGCGGGGATTGGTCTGTTGGCCGCGGGTGGAAACACTTGCCAGCTGGTTTACGAGACATCTTGCTCTTCGCGTATCTTTTGATTGAGCTGTTCGATTTCCATGCTGTAAAGTGTGCTGGAAAGCTAGAAAATTCTCACCAATACACAAAAGATACTAGTCCACTTTTTCCGTCATGCAAAACTTAAACAATCTAAATCTTGATTCCAGTCAACTAGCTCTCTACATTCATTAAGTTCAATAGTGAGTTCTCATTAAAAAACATCATCCAAGGTAGACGGCGTTTGGCATTAAAGGGCTGTTTAAGTGGTGGAGTTAAAGTGTTTCGGGTTACCTGAAGATCTTGAGGATGCAAGATAATATGCAAAACCGCAAGAGAGATGAAGACCTGTTGATGACCGCAATTTTCAGTCACTTCTTCTTGCCAAATGTTGTTGCATAATCCTTCCTCCTTTGTTGTAAACATCTATTCCCCCAGACTTAGATTCTTTCCGGGAATCAGAAAATGATCTCCAAAACTCCATAAAATCGAACTCCAGCTGCCTTGGGACTTAAAATTCGACCTCTATAGACTCTCTAAGGCTTTTATTTCCTTTCTTTTCTTATTTTTGGATTTTTTTTGTTTTTTTTGTTTTTTGTTTTTTTGTTTTTTTTGTTTTTTTTTGTTTTTTTTAGAAGGAAATGCCTTTTAAAGAGAGAGAGAGTAAAGGACGAGATTGTACCGGAATTTGAGATTCTTCTAAGGCAAACTGAGCTTCCTCTTGTGCTTAATCCTTCCTGGAACTTTTCCGGCAAATCGCAGGTCTCTGTCCTTGGTGACTGAAAACTGTGTCGTTCCTCTTTCTCTCAAACGTTTTTGCACTTATCTGCATATAAGTCAATAGAAAACAAGAGTGCATGTGGTTTGAAAGAGGATTGGTTAAGGTGGGGAACTAGCTAAAGATGAACTAGCAATTCAGGATCAACTGAGAGTGGTAAAAGGATAAAGGAGTCCTGAATGAATGATTGGTTTCCCTGGTCTAATGCTTCAATGAGAAAATTAAGTCCAAATTAAGTCCAAATAAAACAGAGCTAGTGTATTCCTTCATCTAAATCGAAATCATTCAAATTCCTCTGGGGTAACGAATGTGCTTAGCTAACGCCTAGTCTAGTCCTAAATCATGAATGAGCATGTCACTAGGAACAGTCTAAAAGCACACAGTCAACTATCATTGATTCATGTTCACCATTCCCTTTAAAACGTATTATGTTTTGAAAACCGATTTTGAAAAACTTTAAGGAAAATGCAAAAAGTGTAGATAATGCAAGACTCATGAAAGAAATGATGTGAGCATGGAAAGCATGGAGAGCTTGGAGCATGGAACTAAACCGCAGCTTGAACCCGTGGAGCTTGGAGCTGAAGATGATGAAGCATTGATCGTCCCCAATGGTCCCATGACAAGGTCTAGAGCAAAAGAGTTCAATAAAGTCATCAACAACCATCTACTTACCATTCAGGCCAGCCTTAGAAGTGAAGCTTGTCCAGCCACATTGGTTGTGATTCAAGCCGTCTAAGCGATGACAATGGAGGTGTGTGGACTTGTGCTCTTTTTCCCTCCTCTTGGTTTTGTCCCAATGGGTTTTCCAAGAGAGTTTTTTAACGAGGCTTGGCCACATACTTCTTACCTCAGCCCATTGTCATCATTCGGCCCTCTTCTCTTCTTGTTTCAATTTGAATTTCCTTAGTGTTATTTCTATCTTCTTTCTATTCAAACTTGGTCTTTATGTGCATGAATTTTCGAGGCATGTCTCTTAAATTCTATGCTTGACCGAAATGATTCTTCTCCTTCTTCCCCCTTCTCTTTATATTCCGTACTTGACTCTTCATTCGATTTTCATCAAACTTCTTATTTCTAAAACTCTCTCTAGTTGTTTGATCCGAATAGTGTGTAATATCTATTCAACTTTATTCTTCTCTTGGTGTGTAATATCCTAGAAGAATTAAGCATCGAAAGTCTAAGGAACATCCGCAATCCTTAGAAGTTTCACTTCACCCCCATCGTTCAGATCATTCACCAAACCAAATCATCACTTCCGCATCACCAATTCAACCACACGAAGAGCATCAAGGGGCAAGACTCATTCATCACGATCAGGAGTCTATCAGGTGGTATCAGAGCTGCTTCGTGCAGGTTGTGTCGATCTGAATCAAAAAGATTTCGTTTGTGACTTTTCATTATCAATCAAAACGTTTTTGAGAAAACTGTGTTATTATCTGTTTCCGAGCACCAGGTTGTTAGAATTGTTTAAAATCGAATACTGATCCAAAAATCGTGAAACCAGTTGTGTTCGAACCTAGATTGAGTCTAGTTTCTGTTAAAATTGAAATCGGAATTTTTGGATGTGTTTTGATATTTTTCCCGAGTCGATTTCTCTGAACAGTCGCTAGTAGGTTCTTGTGGTAGTTGAAGAGTTATTCATTTGTTTGATCCATTGTGTTGCGATTTCTTCCAAAGAACACTTGACTGGGGTTATTTTGTGTTGATTTTCAGGATGGTAACGCCACCATTGGAAGAAGATGAAAGAGGAAGCAATAGCGTCAACCAAAA